GCTGCGGCTCGAGCTGCATGAAGCAAGGTGTTGTCACAAGATGCGCTGTTGAGGAAGTTACCAATCATTGAGGCAGTAGGGTGTTGAATTTGCATCTCTTTAAGAAGAACGCTCCCATCCTTGGTGATCTTGATCTGGCCAGCACCTCCGACGAGCCTATAACAAGCAATCATGAATTAACGTTGGTGTGGTATGTTAATCCTGAGCTGCCTGCCCATAGTACATCTTGAGAGTGCCCCTAGGGCCAAGATTGCTCTTCATAACCTCACTGAGGCCTTGAGCAGCATTGCAGTTCACCAACAATGCTTGAGTGGCCTTCAAGACATCGGCTTTGGAGTTAACGACGCTTACCATAGCTCGGAAGAAGGAGAACCACAAACTAAGTGTAGTAGCACTCAAGCTGATGACACATGATACCAGATAAGCTTAGCCACCACCACAACCACCGCTGCCGCCTGGTCATCATCCATAATGATACTATCCTCCACTACGTAGATTATACGTGCCAACAATGGATTCTAGACACATGCTCATACTCAGTTGTGACTTCCTATATCGTCAATGAGTGGCCATCCATCAACCCATGCCGAATCATATGGTATCCCTCCCCATCTGTATGGTCAGAATGGTTAATCGATCATTGTGGCGAGCGCTAACTCAATTCTTCCGCCGCCGGGCTGTATCAGATTTCGCCAACTCAGAAATCGCCAAAATGACGCCAAACAGATTCGCGGGCCTAACGACAGAAATTCTAGGTGATACCAGTGTTGGAACAGATTACAACAATGTGGTGAAATACGATACTCTACAACTGATTTGGACTAAGATTTGGTGGATTCTGCAAAATTCAACAGATGTGCAGTAATCTGCGTGTTGTTCTCATTCCGCCAACACCAGTATTGGCAATAACTGCACATGGACAGCTCCCGCCAAGTTGGTCTCCTGGACAAGAATTGCCAAGTAGGTGATTTTAGGGTTGTGAAATATGGATCGAACAGCGTGCGCCTTGGCTATCGATTTATGTTTTGGACGGTCCAAATTGGACCAGACTTTTGGTGCCACCAAACTGGTGGTGTCCAGCATACATAGTCATTGGAGTTCGTACAAGCTCATTATATCAAGACTCAACGTTGGTTCATCCCCATAGATGATCGTAATGGACTCCATTAAATGGAGCAGGGACCAATTCACGCCGTCAATTAATTATTTACGACTCTCAGCATGGCTCGCGACTCGGCTACTTCTCTTAGTCTTCGAGGTCAGTTACTGCTTGCAACGACACTCCACTTCTACTATTACTGCTACTTCTTCTTCGTTATCTCCCCACGATGACGATTCTGTGACGAAAATTTCTGTCGCTGATCCTGAACGGTTTAGGCTGAACCCGCAACGAGTAAGCGTATGAGGTGCTACAACTT